TGACACTACACTCACCCCTGTGTGCAGTGGGGGATCAGAAAAGGGGTATGGGGCCTTCCACATGCTTTTTCTGCTTTCTCATCCCACCCTCACAGGGGTGCCTGCACCCCAACCTGGGAAAGCAGAAGGCTAATAACAGTTTCCTCCAAGCATCCGACAGAGGCCCATCTGCCCATTCCTTTGCTCCCACAGCCCTGACCAGTGGGAAGCCCAGCGCACAGCAATGTCTGTCTGTGAGAGGAAGCCCCTGCCTCTGCCAAGAGTGATGAGGGGAGAAGTGTGAGGAAGGACAGAGGGAACCAAGTTGGGCTGGAGGTGGGGAAGGGCAGTTTAGGGGCACTGGTGGGCAGTGGGGAGGCAGGGGTTAATGGGCTGGGGCATCACTGGCTTTGATGTGGTGGTTGGGGAGGGGGTAGGGTCTGGGGGAGGGGAGCCATAATTACTGAGTTAGACAGAGCAGGACAGGACAGGCTGGCGGGCACAGGCCCGGGCCCAGCCGCCTCAGCAGCCGTCAGGCAACATTTTTCTGCCCCTTCTCCACCACCCACCTCCCCCACCCTGTGCAGCCCCCACCCACAGCCCCAGGGCTCAGGCCTCCCTCTTCTGGCTTTTGGGAGGTGGGGTCAGTCTAGGGACCTTGGGAGTATGGGTGGAGAAATACAGGGAGGCCAGCTATGAGACTCTCAGAGAAGGCTGAGTATCCAAACGCCCTGTGACTTCTTCAGCCTCAATAATCCACCAAGAGTGCCTGCTGGGAAAAGGGGGGTCCTTTGGGCGCATCTGGTCCATGAGCAGGGCTAGATGGAGTAGGAGAAGGAGGGGACACAGAGCTCCATGCTGAGAAGTAAGGGCAGAAAGTTGGAGCAAAGAGTGTTATCAGCAATCCATAAATGCTGTCTGTACCTGTTTGTCCTGCACTGTGCAGGCCCAAAATGTGCATAATGGTATTAGTGGGAAGATGAAAAACAAGCCAGGCCCTTCTTGTATGTAAACTGGGAAGTAGGAAGGTATTATTTTCATTTTACAGTGGAAAAAACTGAGGCTCAGAAAGTTACATGTCATCATCCATCCAACAAATGCTAAATGCCAATTTCACATGCATTTGATCTCTAGGATTCATTCAGCATCACAGGACAAGTAAATGACAGATCCAAACCAAATGCTGGTGGGCCCCAAAAGCCCTGAGTATACTCTGCCATTAACATCATGCCCACTTGTGAGATTTTTGTCTTTAATGAGCTTTCAACCTAATTGGAGAGAGAAAATAAACAAACAAGAATAGTTAATTATGCCACTGGCAGGATAACAAGTGTGGGCCAAATGAGTGACAGCTGTAGTGATGGGGCTATTGGTGCAGTCTGGGGCCTAGAGGAGGCTCCTTAGGGCAAGTGGGATCAGAGGTGAACTTGGGGAGATGCTGGCTAAAATTTGATGGCTTAAGGGGCATGAAAAGGGGTGGCTCTGAATCTAGAAATTTTGTGGTGTGATCTGGGATAGATTCAGAGTTAGGCAACCTTGGAAGGAGTAAGGAGATATGTAGGGGATGGTATGACAGGCCACCTGTTGTTTCCCTCCGGACTTGTTGGGTATTTTAAATATCCACCTGATTTTTCTTGTGATGGGGATCCTTTCATCAAGTGGCCAGCATTCTGTCACCTCTCCTTTCATATTGCTCACTGGCATAATGAAGGTGAGGTGGTGGGGCTGGACTTGATGATCTCTGGCATTCCTTTGGCTCTCCCAATTGAGATAGAAGGGTAGGTTAGGGCAGCACCCTGGGGCCTCCAGGGCTTAGGTTTACATGTTGTCAGTAGGAACTGGCTGGCCCAGTGCCATTGATCTTACCGACCATGGTGCTTGGGAGGGAGATCTTGGTGCAGGCCAACCAATTAGGATGACCAGTATTAGGCTGTCCTTTCTTCTCCACATGCTGATTTCTTTTAGGTCTGGCCTCAGTTTTTCTATGCCTAGCAATGGCTGCTTGATTAGAACCTATTCATCATACATTTCCTTACCACCACTGTGCTCCAGGCCCCAAGGGCGCACATCTTCTCTGGGCTGATCCCAGGCCAGTGCAGACCCAGAAGTGCAAAAAGCAGACTTTACTCCCTAAGGAAGCAGAAAGAAATGAAGGAGGGGAGGTAACAAGAGAGGGGAGGTGGGGGATTTATTTCTTGATGTGGAGTTGAATGTTAAAGTTAAAGGGTGTACATAAGCCTCTCTTGCTAACTTTTCATTTTTCTGAAATCCGAAAGGGAACTCACTTGCCCAGAGTGGCTCAGGTCACACAGAGCTGATGGAAAGAGGGTTCAGAAGCAAGACTTGGTGTTTTGCCCAATGCCCCCTGCCATGCCTCTTCTGGAGCTTCATTTCCTATGTATTTAGGATGGGAGCGAGGACAGGAGGGCAGGGAATGAGCTGGTCCCTTGGGATTCTAGCTGCTACTATTGCCCATCCTCCTCCTAATCAGCTCGTAAACAAGTCTAGTTCCCAGGCAGCCAGCCAGCCTAGGGAGCCAGACCCAGACCAGGAACTGGCTCTTGGGCAGCCCCTCATCCCCAACCCCACCTCCTGACAGGCCTTGCCCTTCCTATTCCTCATGATTCCTCCCCTGTCTCTAGCCCCTGGGAAGCAGACAAGGTCAAGAGGTTTTTGCCTTTTCTCCCTTGCTTTTCCCCACTCCCTCCTGCTTTCCTAGAGGAGGAGGGAGAAGAGAGGGATGGGGCAGAATAACCTTGGGAAGATAAGGCCAGTCAACCTTGGGAAAGCAGGGAGTTAGCAGAGGGCAGGGTTGAGGAGGAGACTGGGGAACTTAGCTGCAGGGGTGGTAGGAAGATGAATTTGCAGAGCACTGGACTCCCAAGTGGTGTCCTAGACATACAGTCCAGGAGAGGAGGCAGACAACTGCAGAGAGGACTTATTCCTTGCCTCCAAGTCCCAGTAAGGGAAAAGAACATGTCTGAGGAAACAAATTAGAAGTCATGAAATAACATGTGGACAGAGTTTGGACTCAGATAAGAACCTTCTCCCCGATGACTCATTAATTTATTCAAAAACATGTATTAAATGGTGTTCATTGTAGTATAATATACCATATATATTATTCATATATAACACAGAATTCACAATATCCACATTTTCATAATATGAATTAGGTACCTTAAATCTGCCAGGGAATTCAAAGGAAAATAAGACAGACTTAACTCTCAAGAAGCTCATAGTCTTGTCTACTGACTGTACAATCATGCTGGAAGCTGCCTCAAATCCTTTCTATAATGAATTGGGATAGATAAATCCAGAAAGAATGATTAACCAACAAAGTCCCTGGGCATTTGGGAACCTACTTCAGGCCATTCTCCACTGCTCCTTCCATTGTTATTTCTCTAGATTGGGGAGAGACGGGAACTGGAGCTAAGCAGGTCCTGAGATGGAAGGAAGGTCTGTGCTGTAAGTCTCTCCACTGAGGAGAGATGTCTGGTTTCTGAACTACTTGGGTAGGGATGATGACAGCAGCCTGATTTTGTGTGTGTGTGTGTGTGTGTGTGTGTGTGGAGTAGTAGCAAACCTTGAAGGACTGGGCTTACACATCTTTCTGCAACCACCTCTTTAAGCATCTCACTTCTCAGTATTGAGAGTTCTCACTTAAGACCTAAATTCCTCTTGCTGCTGTTTAAGACCATTACATTTCATTGTTGTGGGGCCAGAACATGCCTGGGCAGCCTGTACTTGTGGAGCAAATGGGGACAGTGGAGCGGATATGCACTAAAACAAAACCGAAAAGCAGGCCACCTTGACCTTTGGCACTATTTACTACCACCATTCTTCTCTGCATTGCTATCTCCTGTTGCCGCCTCTCCCTGCCCTGGGATCTTTTTCTGCCTTTTGCAGGAGGGTTTTTGGGTGGTCTTAAATTACTGCTGGTTCCCAAGAAATCTGCCCACTTATTCCTGCAAAACAGGGATCTCAGCTAAATGTTGGAATAGAAGCAATCAGGTTAAAGCCATTCCTTCCACGTATGAATCTCTAGCTGACTTAACCTTCTGGGGTCTGGTGTATGGGCGCTCTCTCCTTAGGTGGAATGAAGGCCAGGAGTGGAGGGATTTCTGAAAGCCTGTGGAACTTCCCATGAAGATCACCTACCAAACCAAACATCATCCTCCCTCCCCAATCAATTGTCACCCCAGTGCACAGGGCTGTCTCCTTGCCATCCTACTCTTCGAAGGCCAATGACCCTGGAACAGGAGAAGGGTCACTGTCACCTATTTCTCACAAATCCTTCATAGACTTGTTCCATAGCAACTTCCTCCTGCTTTTCAGTTAAGGGAAACAGAGGATATCAGGGTGGGAGGCCCCCTACCCTAGAGATCCAAGCCCAGTCCATTTTACAGAAGAAACTTGGACTAGAGGAGGGTGTATGACTTTCTTCAAAGGCTCCATTCTCTAGCCATGCTAATTTCATGGCATTCTATCTCCCTGGAATTGCCTCTGCCTTTTATTAAATCTGTTAAGCTGACACATATCCAGCATGTGGTCCACTAGGACCTGATGCTTCCCTAATGCTGTTTACTTTTCTATGGTGTCTCTGTGACACATGCTTTCTTTCCTTCACACCCTTCTCGATTTTTCTTCTGTTAATTTTTTCCTTGTCTCCCTTTTGGGCTAGGCCTGTTGAATTGTAACCTTGGCTTACCTGGCCAGTTGCCTTCACCTTGAGTCAAATTCCTGTAAGAATTTATTAAAGAAGAAGTGCACAGAAGGATAAGACTGATTCCTTGCTCTATAGCAATTTTCAAGATTCAGTCTAGAATCTTGTTAAGAGGGGACACAGTCGGAATGGTAAGAGAACCACAGAGGCATCTCAAGCTTAGCTGGGGATAGGGTGGTGAGACATGTCACAGCTCTTTGCTGTGGGCTGAGTGGGTTGGGCCTTCCTCCTCGCCACCTTAAATCCTTTATTTGGGGAGGGTTGCATCCCTAACCTGATGTTCTCTGCTCCCCAGGGCTGTGGGCAGCCCCTTGGTCATGGACCCTACCAGCATCTGCAGGAAGGCACGACGGCTGGCTGGGCGGCAGGCTGAGTTGTGCCAGGCTGAGCCAGAAGTGGTGGCAGAGCTAGCCCGGGGTGCGCGGCTCGGGGTGCGAGAGTGCCAGTTCCAGTTCAGATTCCGCCGCTGGAACTGCTCCAGCCACAGCAAAGCTTTTGGCCGAATCCTGCAGCAGGGTCAGTGTGGGGAGGTGACAGGAGTGGGCCTGCTTTCTCTTCACTGGGGGATGAGAGGAGCTGGGAGCTGGTTTGGGGACGCTACCTGAACCCCACCTTTCCGCTGGGGTCTGTGCACCCTGTCCAAGATTCTGTCTCCCAGGCCTTAACAGCGGTGCCATCCTGCCCCGCCCACCGCAGGTGTCCGCCTCAGCCAAAGTCCTGCCGCCGCTGACTGCCCTTCCCTGTCTCCGCAGATATTCGGGAGACAGCTTTTGTGTTTGCGATTACGGCGGCGGGCGCTAGCCATGCGGTCACGCAGGCCTGTTCCATGGGTGAGCTGCTGCAGTGTGGCTGCCAGGCGCCCCGCGGGCGGACCCTGCCCCGGTCCTCTGTCCTGTCTGGCACCCCAGGGCCTCCCGGGACCTCCGGGACCCCCGGCTCCCCAGAAGGCAGCGCCGCGTGGGAATGGGGAGGCTGCGGCGACGACGTGGACTTCGGGGATGAGAAGTCCAGACTTTTTATGGACGCACAGCACAAGAGAGGACGCGGAGACATCCGCGCGTTGGTGCAACTGCACAACAATGAGGCGGGCCGGCTGGTGAGTATGGGCAGGAAAGTGTAAGCGTGTGCTTGGAAGTGTGTAGGGGCGTGTCTGTGGAAGTGCGCGTTTAGTGAGGGTGTGTGGGTGTAGGGGTGTGTTAATGTGTGTGGGAGTGAGCAGGGGTTGAGGGGCAGGGAAGATTGGTTGGGAGCATGGATGGACACATGGGAAGGTGCACAGCCTAGAAAAGGGGCAAGGTGGGCATCTGGGAAGGCTTGATGCTGGGTGGTACAGTGAGCAGAGTGGGGAGAGAACACCCAGGAAACTGAGTGCCTGTAGGTACCCAAGGCAGGGGGCCATAGCTCTGAGACAGGACAAGTGAAGCAAAGCTTGGGGTGCTGAGGCAGGGGAAGGGGAAGCATGAGGGATGAGAGGCAGGGGAAGGGGGAGGCAAGAATGTGGATGAACAACACAAGAATGTGGAGAGAAGTTGGGACAGCCTGGAGGTATGGAAGCCAGGAGGGAGTAAGGGAGGTCTAGAAAGCCCTAGAACAGCCCTGAAGGGCAATGGGCTTGAAAGGGAGTGCAGGACAAGAAGCCAATCCTAGTGGAGGTGGGAGAGGGTCAGGCAGAGGCCAGCACAGCTGTAACTGATGCACTTGCCAACTGGCTGCCCCTTACCAGGTCTCACCTGCCAAGACCTAGGGCAGCCTCTCTCCTCTTCTCTGCCTTGAGGAGGGCCCCAGGAGCTCTTGCTTAGGGGCAAGAAGCATCTCAGGTTCCAGGAAGAGGGTAGGGGAGATGTCAGGGAGTGGGAGGAGGGCACATGCCTGTAGGTCAAGTTGGCCCTCAGGCTCTAAGCTTCCAGAGATGATTTTCCTGGGTCATCTAACCCATAAATCTCTAGTAGGGTTGTGAATCTTAGATCCCAGGTTGAGATAAACAGCAAATAAGGGAGAGGACTTCTGGATCCCTTCTGTGTAGTGCATTCCCAGTGGGGTCTCTTGCACACAATGCCTCAGTTCTAGGGTCCTCCAGGGGCACCACCACACACACCCTGTGTCCTCAAGGGTTTGGGGCCTGAGGCATGGGGAGGTTTGCTGAAGAGGAATGTCCAGACAGGCCCACATACCTGTTGGGGAAAGTTGGGGAGGAGTGGAGAAGACAGACGCCCAGTCCAGGCGCTGGCTCTGAGTCTCCGCTCAGCCATGCCCGAAGCCTTGAGGGGCAGGAATGAGGGGGCCAGGCTGGCAGGAGGGCTAGGCTTCACAGCTGCCACCTCTCCTCCTCCTCCAGAATCTCACCCTTGCTGTCCATTCTGCTTTCTCCCCTACTCCCTGGCTTTGGATCCTGGAATCTCTGGTGCTACATACTGCCCTCCCACGCCCCACTTCTCTAACTCCTCCATCCTTATCTTTCGTTCTTCCTCCTCCTCTCTTCTGAATTGTCACTTCCTTGATGCCTGCTCACCACCTTGCGTTTTTTTTGTCTGTATTTTCCTCTCTTTTGTACACCCTATCCCCAATCTTATTTTCTGCCTCTCCTCTGTCCGCATCCACGTGCCCCTCTGCTCCCTGCAGGCCGTGCGTAGCCATACACGCACCGAGTGCAAGTGCCACGGACTGTCGGGCTCCTGTGCGTTGCGCACCTGCTGGCAGAAGCTGCCTCCGTTCCGCGAAGTGGGCGCGCGCCTGCTGGAGCGCTTCCACGGCGCCTCACGCGTCATGGGCACCAACGATGGCAAGGCTCTGCTTCCCGCAGTTCGCACGCTCAAGCCACCCGGCCGAGCCGACCTCCTCTACGCTGCCGACTCACCGGACTTCTGCGCCCCCAACCGGCGCACCGGCTCGCCCGGCACGCGCGGCCGCGCCTGCAATAGCAGTGCCCCGGACCTCAGCGGCTGCGACCTGCTGTGCTGCGGCCGTGGACACCGCCAGGAGAGCGTGCATCTTGAGGAGAACTGTTTGTGTCGCTTCCACTGGTGCTGCGTAGTGCAGTGTCACCGCTGCCGCGTGCGCAAGGAACTCAGCCTCTGCCTCTGACCGGTAGCCTAGCCTCTAAACTAACTGCGGGACCTCAGGAATCCGGCAGGGGGCGCTGCCCAGCCCGCTCTCTCCCTGACAAAGCCCATCTCCCAGGCCTCTTGGGTGCTTGAGACGTATGGATGCCTGCGAAGGCCAACGGCGCCTGGCAGCGCCAGAAAGGCGCTGGGGAGTTTCTGAGGGAGATTATACCGGCTCTCCTTGTCCTTGGTCCTCCAGGTGGAAAAAGAAAAAGTCAGTCTCTAGGCCTCTGGATGTGAGGCTCCTCAGAACTGCCAGCTATGCGATGGGTGGGTGAATTTAGTGTCAATAAAAATATTTAAACCAGTAGGACTGGACCCACAGTTTGGGAGGAGGCTGATCTCCTGTGGGCCAGGCTCTGGAAGTAATGTGTAAAGAAAGGTGGCTTTGATGGAACTTGAATCTCAGGGTCATCAGCTTGGGTCCCTATCCTGTCCCTTTCCAACTGGGTTGGGTTGTCCTGGAAACCCTCCCTTGGCACTCTTCTTGGTCACTCTTGTCACACATCTACTAGGGCCTGGAACTGCAAGTTGGGAAGAACTAGCAACTCTTTTTTATTAAAGGGATAGAGTGAAAAGGAGGGTCTAGGAAAAGGGGAAAGAAGCCTCTGATGTGTTCAGCTCTGGGGCTAACCCTTGTCTTACTTTTTAGGGGATTATGTCTGTTTCTGTAACTCCTGGGGAATTAAAGGGTAGAATTTTAAGCCCATGCAAGCCCATAGGATTAAAGCACTTTATAAACTGTATAATGTGATGGAAATATGTTATTAACACCATCAGATTTTGTTACCATAAAAACTAGCTTCACTGCCATTAACATTGAAAAGAATGCTCAGAACAGCATTCTAATCACACTTAATGGGAGAGGAAGCAAGTTTGTTGTTAGGTTTCTCTTGACACCTAACCTCATATTTCCTTCCTCTGGTTCTTCTCAGGAAGCTGATGGTGAAGGTGAAGGTGAAGGGACATAGAAGCAATTCTGGGTTTTCCAGAGCTGAAACTTATGGTCCCATCTTCCTCCGGAGAGAAGGGGAAAGCGTAGTCCAACTCCTGGGATTCAGAGCCCCCAGCTTTCCTCCTGCAATGGGGAGTGACTTCCCCATCATGGTGTGTAGGACAAAGCATGAGCTTTGGATTCAGGCACCCTGGGTTTGAAGCTGGTGCTGCTGTCTAGATGTTTATAACATAGGCCAACTTAGCCTCAGTTTTTTTTTTTTTGGCCTATACAATGGGAATAGCACCCTGTTTCAATTATCCATTGCTTCCTAACAACCCCAAAGTAATTATTTCTCAGGATTCTTTTGGCCATGATTTGTCAGAACTAGGCTGGATGGCTCTGCTCCATGTCTGGAGTCACCCACTTGGCTGCATTCTGCCAGAGACCTAATGCATGTTTCTAGAAGCTCAGAGCTCTCCCGTGATCTCAGTTTTCTCTGTGGGTCTAGCTTGGGCTTCCTCCATAGCATGATGGCCTTAGGGCAATTGGACTTCTTACATAAGACTGACTTTCAGAAGTCAGAGTGTACCAAGTTGAAGGCAGAAGCTACAAACCTAAACCTCTTATGGTCCGGTATTGGAAGTTATATAGCATTGCTATAATTGTTGGTTGAAATCGGTTACAGATCCAGCCAAAATTCAAAAGGAGGGGAAAGAACTTACACCTCTTAATGGAAGGAGTGGTGAAGAATTTGCAGCCACTGTAATCCATCCCACCCTCTAATAAGATTGTTGGAAGGATTTTTTTTTTGAGATATGCAAGCACTTAACATAGTATTTGACACATAATAATTTGTGTCGAATTTATGTTTAACAATTGGTAGTTACTATGAAAATGAGTAGGGAGAGATGATGCTTTGCAGGTATTGCACAGGCCCTGATTGTAAATGAAGATGGCCAAAATTTAGTAGAGGCCAGAGGGAATTAATCAATGGCTCTTATACCTGGGAAGTCTAGGGGTAAAATCTCAATTGAGTTACAGCTGAAAGCACCACAGTATCCTTACCTCATTCCCTTTACGTCTATTGTTACTGCTTATTTCTGCCTCTCTTTGCATACTGTCCTCATCTCTCCTCAGGAGGCTTTCTCCTCACCACAGCTCTATGCCTCCATTCTTAGAGCTGGTGATTCAAAAAAGAAGAGTGACCTTCCCAGTTATCGCCAACGCAAGGTCCAAGGAAGATGCTGATTACTTAGGCTTTGTAATTTTCCCAACCCTGTACCAATAATGGTGTCCAGGGGGATGTATTACCATGACTGGGGGTGGTAGCCCTCCTAGAACAGTGGGGAGCAGTGAGGAAAGTAGAGTTCTCCAAATGAAAGGAAGGGGAACTCATTTTAGGTCAGCCTGTGGGTCTTGACCCACAGGAACTGTATTAAGGGCCGTGACATTAGGAAGGTTGAGAACCACTGTCTTAGATGAACTAAACCATGGTGTCCAGTACATTCATCCTTCCCCAACAGTGTCCCACAATGTCAGGCTTCAGTAGGAAAAATGGGGCATCTGGGTTTTCCTTCCTGCCTCTTCCTGGCTCCCTCAGGTCAAATGCTTCAGCTTTGGGGAAGTTATGAAGAATATGGATTCAGAATCTCTTGACCAAAGGAGATTATGCTAACAAGGGGAAAATGGAACTACATTTTGGGCTACCCAAAGAGAAATGAAGCTCACTGAAGGCCGGGTCTGCCTTCCCCGAAGCTCTGTGCTTACCTTTAAAAAAAGAAATCAAATCCTGCTTTTCTCAAAGGGACCACCAGGGGGCACGCAGAGCCCAGCTTCCTTATTAACAGGGAGTGACAACCTGCAGGACACCTGGGGAACTCAAGAGAGCAGTGGGTAGGAGAGTATAGGACTGGAAGGAAGCAAGGAGACCTGTGGGTCGCTTGTATTAAGCTGCTAGGGTTAGTTCTAAACTGCCTGGGACATCTGAGCTGGCCCTGATGTAGTACCGCGACATACTGTCTCTACCACTGTCAGGCCCTACAGTGATGGGGTGTGTGTAGCCGGGCACGGTAGCTCACGCCTGTAATCCTAGCACTCTGGGAGCCTGAGTCGGGTGAATTGCTTGAGCTCAGGAGTTAGAGACCAGTCTGAGCAAGAGCAAGACCCCATTTCTAAAAAAAAAAAAAAAA